GTTTACCCGATTGTGGAGGTTCTGTGTTGGCGGGATAAAGTTCCGTGTAGATGAGACACGAAGCGTCCACAAGGCGCCGACCATCTTTTGATAGACCTCCTGTCCCGAAGATCCCCCATCGATTTCAAGTTGGACTGAAGAGCACCTCCATGACGACTACAGGGGTTATAGAAGTTAATCGTCGTTACCTAACTCCTTGTCTCTCTTCGCCCTTCTCCAGTCTTGCCTCTCTTCGTCGGTCAGCGCCCACCACCCTTCTACTTCATCCTCCAGCTCCAGCTCCCACTTTTCCTCCAATGCGAGCATTTTCTTGCTCTTCTTTGGCGGTGGGGGCCGTGGTGGCGGTGGCGGTGGGGTACGCCGGGTTGGATGTAACGGCGCGATGCGGCGAAGCGCCGACTTGGTCGTCTTGGCGAAAGGAGACGCAATTGGAGACGAGGACACCGAAAACGGCGCGCTCGGATGCGAGGCAGCACGCCTGATCAGTTCCCGCATCGGGGTCTTTGGGTCCAGTCGGCTGAGGGTATAACGTAAATTTCCCGGGGCGGGCGTTTCTCTCGTAGGGCTCGGTTTCGGTAGGTCATCCCCCTGGGCAGAAATACCGGGCTGCACATTCCCCTAGGTGGTATCAGTTATCGAAACCAGAAGGGTTATGGCCAAGCCTACCTTGAGAGGTACCGGCGCCTTATCCTCGACTGAGCGGGACCCGGACGTACGGTGCTCGTTAGGAAGGGAGGTGGATGCATGTTCAGTTTGATGTTTGTCTGTCCTAGAATCCTCTCGTTCCTCCTCGCCTGCGGCATTTTCCGCAAGACCATCGTTATCTTCGGATTGAAGCTCGTGTGCCTTTTGCTTTTCCTTGCGAGACTTTGTCCCAGCCGACGGCTTCCTCTTCGGGGCGAGCATCAGTTCGTCGTCACCATCAGACGTCTGTTGGGGAGACCTGTATGCATCCTCGTCCTGAACAGGCGCAGAATTACTGCTTTCCTTCCACCTTGCCTTGACCTTTATATTCGCCTTCTTGCGCGGTGACATGATAACAACCTCTACGATGGTCTTCTTCCTGGATTTACCAGCCCCCCTTCTCTCTGACCTCGCGTGCGCGCTATCGTCACTCCTCTCTGCAGCTTTCGAGCTCTTAGGTTTCTTGACGGATTTCTCGACGACGTATTCATCCTCACTATCATTCGAGTTCAGATTCTGGTCCAGGTCCACACCTGATACACCGTCAGAACCCCCCACAAGAGGTGGCAGGAAATTTGGCGGTGGTACCACCCTAGGTTGTGCCATAGGGGAACGATTCGGATCGGCGAGGTCATATGTCAGTGACCAGGGGCGATCCGGACGTTTCCGTTTCTTTCGGCGTACTGGGCTCCCCTGGTGCGAAGGACTGGGTACAGTAGTTTCATCAAGCGCATCTGGCCGTGGAGGAGTGGAGTTGATTGTAGTGCTTGCAGGAAAAGGGTCTGAAGGAGGCAACGGCGGGCTTGAGCTGGGCGCAGGGATCGTCACAGGGTCGGAGGGCAGCTGCTGGTTGTTCCCAGTTGAAACAACACGTTTAATTGGGCGGGGTTTCGGCCTTTCTTTCAGCTTTTTAACAGGGGTTATGGCGAGGTCGTCATCAGTGATGTCGATGACTTCTTCCGCGCACTGCGTGGGCCGTTTCGTAGCTTTGCGGGTACGCATCTTGGCGCGCTCAGCAATGTCCGGGGAGAAATTGTCAAACGCGGGAGCAATTGCGTCAGTAGTGTTCGTGATTCCTGTAGGATCGGAATGAGCTACGACCGCGGGTTGCTCCCGGTGGTTAGAGGTCGGTGTGCAAGGAAGGGTGGGGTCGCTGGTGGAAGTGTTCGCTGCGGGGTCGACGCCCGCACGATTAAATATCGGCCTAGGGCGCGGCCTAGAGCCCCTCTTACTTGAGGATTCCGAAATTGAGGAAAAATCGGCTCGAGGGGGAGGCGGGAAGGAAGAGATTGCCGAGCGAGCCGGGAGGTCAGTTTCAAGCGACGAAATGTAGGAAGTCTTCTCTGTGGTTATCGATGTAAAGGCCTTTATGCTAGAGACACCATCCTCTGATAGCGACACGAGGGAGGGTACGTCACTGGCACGAGGCCGACCCTAGCTAGGAGGGTGCGCACCTGGGAGAAGGGGAGAGACAGGACGGCGGTCATGGAGCTCTGAGCTACATAGCTGTTCTTCCTCTTCGCTATCTCCAACTATCCAGTCGTTCTGCCCATCGACCATTATTATGAGAGGTAATAGTTATGAGTCAAGAGGAAAGAAATAGTCGTCATACTCAAGCTCGCAACGCGTGAAACCCGTATCACGCGACGTCTGGTTCCCACGCGTGACATCTCTCATGTCTTCTTCAGACTCACCTTCGCCGACGCCTACTTCATCCACACCGCCAAAGCCGAGACCTTCAAACAAGGCGTCTCCATCTCCTCTACGTCCTCACTCTACACCTCAGCCATCCGGCTCTCAAAGACCTACTACGTTACCGACTGTGTCCCCACGGCTGGTTGGTGGTTCTCTAGCTTCCCCCGCGACCCCTCCTCCGGAACGCTCCAAGTCAAGAGCAAGAGACTTGCTACGCAAACACTATGGATTAAGCGTCACCCCTCCACCCCCATCTGGTCGACCCATGGATCCAATGGACTTAGGTGAGTGCTCGTCTGGAAACACACCGTACTACCCTGACCAGATAGCAGACTCACCGGCCTTTGACGCTAAGGCATATTACGACCAGCTCATTACTACAGCATCGCTTCCAACACTTCTGAAGAGAGAGAATGACCTGCTTAAAGGTGGGTCGTTGGGCGTTAATGGCGCATGCAGCTGTCTCACCCACTCTCCTGTCCAGAGATGAGGGAGCTGGATGGCGAACGTCAATCTCTCGTCTACAATAATCACCACGAGCTTATTGGTGCTACTGAGACCATCTCTGCTGTATGTGGGTCGATCTTACACTACATCAACTTGACTTACTCTCACTCATAATAGATGAGGCATGGAGCCCAATCACTTGATTCAGATTTGGAACTTCTCAAAGAAGCCTTCTCTGAGATATCCCGTCTGAGCGCTGAGATCGCCATCGAGGACTCTACTTCCTCGCATTGACTTGTGCCGGCTTTCATGCCATATAATCTTGATCTCAAACATGGACTACGTTCATGCACTTGGTCGATTAACTCAATTTAGCGAAATCATTCCTGCCAACGGTGTTTGTCTGTAATGTCAATCTGAAGACTAATTGCCGTAGCCTGTTTGACTTCACGTGAATAGATCGGGGGATATGTGAACTAGCTAGACACCTGCCTTGATTGCTCCTCGCAATAGTCGCGGATCTCTTGGTAATGTTTCAGGCGATGCCGGCGGTGCATCACCACCAACATGATGCATGTAGCTGCCATTGCTACGATAATTGGCTGGAGGATCAAGAAAAGACATTTCCACTATGCAAACGGGGAACGTACCCAGGACCACAGCGAGCGTAGTCGCTGCATATTGCCACAGAGCAACTTCAAAGGGTTCGTCAGGTGGGCTAGCGCAAACATTTTGGAGGCAATTATACTAGATATCTGCCTCAGATTGAAAGTTTTCGAAAAATATTCGGGCGCACAGATAGGCAATCCCGATGATATTGGCACTGTTGCCCAACCAGGCGCAATCGCTCGCAAACTTGTGTAGCTGCGTCGCAGAAAAACTGTGCGGTTTGGCAATTGTCGCGTACGATAGTGTTCTTGAATTCCAGTCCGGTGCCGTCTAGATCAGAATACGTGCTGAGCTCGAAAATACAAGGCTCCTTCTCGGTCAGATTGGCATAGCTTGGAGGAGACATATCACTCATCAATATACTGACGAACATGGCAGACAGAGCTTACGTGCAGACGGAACGTAGGCATACAACGCCGTTGAAATTATGATAGTCAGCCAGCCCGGGGGTATTCGACGGTGCGCACTGATCGTCGCGATTGAACTGGCATGGCTGACCAACAGCCACAAGCGGGCGGCAGGTATCGCCCTCGTCCGGGCAGAAGCTCCCCCCAGGGCATAGTGCTGGTGGCGACTGGTCTGCACGATACCCGAATGGAAACTCCTCGCGCCGGCACTGGCGTGGAATGCAGGTCCCGTTTATGGTCCCTGAACAGAACGTCTGGGCATCGCAGTCACTTGTGAATCTCCTTGTGCGGGGGTCGAGGCGGTTGGAAGCGATTGAGCACGCCTTTCCAAGAGCAGTTGACGAAGATTCAGACTCGGCGCCAAGTGCTGAGAGCATCTGTGCCAGATACACGAGAAAGAAGGCTCCAGTTGGCAGACGCATGATTGAGGCCTGACTGCATACAATCTGTGGGATAGAATACGTGTTCCAACCAGGCGACAGGGTAAGTTATGTGAGTGATTGCGCCCGAGGTAAACTTGAACGGCTAAACAAGTACGCTCGCCAACGTCACGATCAAGACCACTGGCCTGGTTTTCGAACGCGCTAGTCCCATATTACATTCAATAATCGTTTAGGCCCGCCATCCTCATAGATCGCCGGAAGGTGTTGAGATAGATTGTCCAGGCGGGATAGTGTCAGTAATTGATGTCATCCCACTCGCCACTTGCCATCGACGGCCAGACTCTCGTTGAATGTACTTCTGTTCTATGAGACGCATTGTGTGTTGGGATCGGAGCGACCGGCAAGCAGTTGACTATACTAAATGGAAGACAAGCTAAATGCACATCATGATGGGCACAGCCCGAGATGACGAACGGTGGATCGCCACAGCGCCCTCAGTACCATATATACACGCGCATAGTGATAGGAGCAGAGAATTATTATCCTTTCCCCCTTCCCAGTGTGTGCACACCGTACAATTCATAAAATTGTGACATCATAGAAAAAAATACGGCAAAGTGCCAGTGTGTGCGGGGTTGTATCATGCCTGAGGCAACCCAGGGGATGATGAATGATTTAAGTTGTTGATAGGAAGTAAAACGACAGTTAGTACAATGCATTGGTGGGGTAGTGGTAACCTGGATCGTTGCCATGTAGTTGGTGTGATCCAATTCGATCCGCCCCGGGTTCGATTCCCGGTCAATGCAGTTATTTTTGTATAGTTTGCCGTTGTGGGCGGCAGGAATTTTTGGCACCACGAGCCGAAGAAAAGGGGAAATCATCGGTTTGTTAACATGCAGTGCAACTGATACAACAGCACGACTGTACAGTACTACGCTCGCTGAGATCATTCTGTAATTTATCTTATATCCCGCATTTTGCGGCCCGCTGTCACAGTATCCTTGTCAGGCAGAGCAACCGCTGCTAAGCACGTTGATACTCAACATGCCAGTCAACCCTAGCCTTCGTCATGCCCTTGCTTTCATTAGTCTTGCATCCCTCGTCTATGTGCTGTTCTACTCCCCTTATATTCAGAATTCTCAACAGCATTCTTCACCTCTCGGGGATGCACCTGACAGCCGCATAGCACGCTCGACCCGGATCGTCGCTGTCGGAGATCTGCATGGCGACATTGGCAACGCACAAGAAGTCCTTGAGATGGCACGAGTTGTTGACTCAGACGGCAGGTGGTCAGGTGAAGTGGACATCTTTGTGCAGACGGGAGATATTATTGATCGGTGAGTATTTTGGCATCGGTACACACTGGGTAGTTGACTCGCGAGCCAAGCGGTGATGACACGATCAAATTGTTTGATTGGATGGAAGACCTGCGGTCCCAAGCACATGGCGCTGGTGGGCGAATGCTATCCCACCTAGGGAACCATGAGTGGATGAACGCCATCGGTCAGTAAATCATCCGGCGTGGCGATATCATATCTCTCTGTTGATCATTTGTCCGCATATATATATAGGCGATTGGAGGTGCGTCATTTATGTTAGTTTATGTACCATGTATGAAGGGGTCCACGCAGATACGTTCTCCAGAGCGAGATCAAGACCTTTGGTGGTGTTGCCGCGCGGCAGGCGTTGATCTCAACTGGCCGCATTGGACGTGCTTGGGCCGCGAATTACACTACCACATCTCGTCTTCCGCTTCACCCGTCTCTTGGTGCGCCGAATGATGACTTTCCTCCTTCCCCTGGATCCCCCGCTGGCCGGTTGCTTGCTCCACTCTCTCACGCCGCTTATTCCTTCGTACACGGCGGCCTCGCACCAGGTTATCCACAGCTCTCGCCCTTCCCGTCTACTATCAACGATATCGGCCACTCGCTGCTCCGCAAATTGCAGCGCCGCGTGCAACCGCCGCCGCACCCACCGCACCCTTATCCTGATTTGCCATCTGGTGCGACACGCGAGGAGCGCGCGCTGTATGAATCAGACGGCCCTTTATGGTATCGTGGATGGGCACTAAATAGCGAGTCGGAGGTGTGTCGGGAAGTCGAACCGGTACTGGAAAAGACAGGAACGAGGAGGATGATAATGGGTCACACTCCAAACTTCGAGGTGCGTCAATTTCTCCCTAGACACACGGTAAGGTTTAATACTCCTTGCAGAAAATTGTGTCGCGCTGCAACGGCAAAATCATTATTATTGATACTGGTGAGCACATAACGGGACGTTTGCACGGCATGAAGATTGATGGATGAGCACAGGCATTTCACATGCATATGGAGGCGCGTTGTCCGCGCTAAGCATAGATTATACCCTAACGCCTGTTCCATCGTCTTCCTCGGAGAAAAAGTGGAGAGAAAAAGAAGTCGTGAGGGCAGTATACGTAGATCATTCCGTGGTTCTGGTCGACGAGGAACGTGATGTCTTCGGCGACATTTAGAGTGTGCGTATTATACGGGAGGGATTTTTCCTGGGGTGACGTTTGAGACTTGACACCTTCCCATAATTATGCATTGAATTAGGACTTATTCCTGAGCAGAGAAACTCAAGGAAAGAAAGAGAACTGCCCATCCGGTTATCGGCTCCGCCCATTCTGATGATGCTTTCTACCTGGGTCGCGCTGGTCGTATGGCATGGTGGTTCTGATACGTGATTCCGGGTGGTGGGGACAAATGCGGTCGCGGATGGGGAAGCCCGCGGCCGTGGTGTAAAGTGGTTGGCTATTGCTATTGTGATGTCTCTAATGACCTCAGGCGCCGTCTGCTAGGCAACTCACCGGCTGACATGTTGATATTGATAAGTATGCGACCGATAGCAGGTCGCACAGGCCGCAAGCCTGTCCAAAGGCGTCAATGAAAGTGGGACACAGAGAACCGCACGACTGTGATAGTTGCCATTTAAACCGTATCTATCACTGGCAGCATCCTATCTTGTTTTGCCTAGAACTGGGGCATGGTCGGCTGTCGAACTCGACGTACCGTGATACGGTAGATGGACCAGCGGTCCGGGACAGGAAAGGAAACGGTAGAGCTACCAATACATTACCCGTTGTTACAAAGGTAACTGGCCGCAGTGAAAGTACTCCGTTTGACATTTCCTAATAGCCGTCATCATGATCTGATCCTTCAAAGTATCGGGATCCTCTTTACCTACTATTATAGTATGTTGTCGAAGTGAGTACTGATGACCCGGGCTGTGTGTATACAGATGCAGTAATTGGTCAACTCAAAAGTCCAAGCCGGAGATACTGCACGTTTGTGCCTCTAGTGGCCAAGACTTCTCCGGCGATTCTCGTGGCTGAGGTGGCACAAAAAGATTGGCTATTCGCCAATGACAACAGTCCGAGGACGGGTACGGAAACCGTCACCGTGGCGATGTTTTCCAAAGAGTTCCAAGAATGTGGTGTGAGTCTTGCGTTTCGCGAAGCATTGGGCTGCTCGCCGTGACTGCGTCGGTATGACAGACATACCCCTGTCACGACAGCCAACCTTCGTCGTATCTCACAGCAAGATTCCCCATTACACTAGCGAATCGCCAGTCGTCGCTCTGCGGACTCTATCAGACGGTCTACCCACCGAAGGAATCATGAACATTCCACAAGATCCCCTGTTCCATGTCCCTCCTCGCACTCCCTCTAGTAATACCAACACCCCGCCTCCCGTTCTAGCCACGGAGCAGCAGCCTCGAGACCAGCGTTTCCCATCACATCCCGATGGCAGTGCCGATTTCTGCTCCTTCAGTCCCACCCCAGACAATATCCCTCCGCATCCCCCGGACTTCAATTCTTCCGATCTCAGACCCTCCATTGCCTCCAATCCCCTCTTAACCTCTACACCATCACGTACCGGCTCACCTTACTCGGTTGCATCGGAGCTGGATGTCCATTCGGACCACGACGAAGTGCGTGGTAACCTCGATGGCAACCCACTGGCCATGCCACCTAAGGAAGACTGCGACTCTAAGTGCGACAGACCCTTTTCTACCCGTCTCCCGACCTTCGATGTCGACTTCTTGTCAGGTGTCAACGAGTCGAATCGCGTGTCTGTCTCAGTCAATGGTGCAGATGACGCCCACCCACCAGGATGTAGTGGTCACGAATATCCCTCCTTAAGCCAAGGAGCTGCTCAGAGCAAGGCTCGTCCCCCACCCCCTTTTCAAACATCCTACATCTCCCCGCACCCGGAACACGCAAGTTTAGTCACCTCGACTCCTGCATCTGAGCAACCTGCTCCGCAACTTGTCATGGACCCAGCAATCCAGATGCAAAACCAAGTCCCTTATCCCCCACTTTTCGCGGGGTTGCCCACCAACGGTGTACATCGATACATCCTGATGTCCCACTGGCATGGGAGCGACTATGCCCTCGTTGAGGTCTTAAGCCGCGGATCAGCGACCAAGATCCTCTGTTATATTTCGGAGAAGAACTAACCGGATTTATAGTGCTATCCCCGAGTGGTTTGAGGGGTATGCAGAGGATGGTTCTCGTGGTGAGTCAGCTCCCCAATCGTGAGAGTAACCGAGATTGAATAGGATATCCGTAGTTGCAGGTGTTCGATTCCGATCCCATTATCCCGTCAGGCGAGACCAAGCGTGTTCTCTTACCGCAACAGGTCGACAATTCGCATTTCTCGGGTGGGCAATATCGTTGGCCCTTTTCCATTCCTCCTCCCGTTACAACCTCATCTGCGAACTCATCCTCAGTTGGCCATTCCTTCCTTGGGCATCGCTCCTATGACCGTAACAGCGACCCCAAATTTAAGCTCGTAGTAACCATGTACCGTCCTGGGCTCTTCACTCGGAATATTGTGTTTGTACTCTCTACTCTCCTTTCTGAATGTTATTTTACCGGCCACCCCCGGGTTTTCCCAGGGTGAGACAGCAAATCTGTTACGTTGCGCCTCCAGATCCCTCCATACCTCCATGTTCCCCTCCAGTCTCGTTCGACCACGCGCATAAACTTCTTACGGATCCGTCCTGTTCACCTCAAAAGTTCCCCTCAGTAATGGTGAGAGGTGTCATGTTCCCTCAACGTGATATCGAGGTGCAATGCGAGGTGAGCAATAGATCCCGAATAGTACTATCTCTGCGACTCACCTTTTTCTTAGCTCGTTGCACCTGTATGTAGTTACTGTTTAGCGCCTTTGTTTGCTTACACACGATTACTTAGGACTCGTACCCAGTGAGCGACATCATCCCGCTCCGCCTCACAATGACAAGCGAAAATCGCGAGGCGCTCGATTTGGTTGCCGTTCCAGACGTTATCGACGTGCGGTTGTTCAAGGTCATGGGATTTGGAGAGAAAGGCAAAGTTATCCAACCCTTCTCCCTTATGAATCGTAGCTCGTACCACCGTACGGATCTGGCTGCAGAAGCTATATGAGAGCTCGACGGTTACCCCAAGGAACTTCCCACAAGCGAGGCGCATCCACGGCCTCGTTGGCACATCGCATTCAACGGAAACCTTCGTCGGAAGGCTACCGTGAAATTGGTTCCGAGCTTCGAGGGGAAGGATATGGTAATCAGGGTGCGTGGCGTTGACCTTGGCGGAGATCTCATGCTGATTGATGTCTTTCATAGTACCTTGTCTGCCTCTACCCATTCCGTGCGCCAGATTTCCGCCCTGCAAGCGACCCGAACAAGCCGCTTTTCATGGGCAACATTCCACTCAGGTAACGGCTCTAAGGGCTATGTTGTCCGCTTATGCACCGGTACACTTTATCTCTACTGTCATGCCCCTCTGTCCTCATCCTCTCGC